TTTTGTAAAAAATGTTCAGAATTTTTAATATAGGAAGTTGTGTTATTTATTAGGGGATTTAAAATGTTTAAAAGATATTTGGCTAAGGGATGTGTAGGTAAACTTATACTACTAACTATTGGTCGTAAAAGAATATTGACTTTATGAATTTTTGGAACTCGTTAATTAATTCATGTTTAAATTTTTTTAAAGTGTTATAAATTTGTCTTTCAAAACGTTCTGTTGGATTTTTGTTTAATTTTGAATAACTTTTGTCATTTAAAAGTTCATTAATTTTTTGATCATAGATATTATAATCCATAATGACGGTCGCATTATCTTTATCAGCAGGCAAAATTTTGATTGTTTCATCTTTTTTTAATGACATTAGTGCTTTTTGCTCTATTGAACTTATGTTTTGTTTAATTTTGAAAGGTTTTTCTAGAATTATTTTTGATTTTTTTTTTAATTTTTTAATTTATTTCAAAAAAAAAATTGAGTGGTGCTCACAAACCACACAAAATCACTTTTCCTCCGTAGATCAAACCGTTAAAAATGTCATAAGAAAATCAGAGACGGTAAATAAATTGGTGGAAGAACGTAAAAACTAACAGTTATAAACTAGACAATAAAAACGCACCAAGAACGATTCTTAGTTCACACACAATCGCTAGACTTGAGTTGATCTCTTCCAAATTAATCGCACGAAGAGATTGATGGTAAGAGCAAATGAACAGTACAAAAGTGTCAAAACGAACTCCGGAATGAAAAATAGCTGAGAGAAAAGCGTCGGTTGCATGTAAATAATTTAAGGCAAGTTTAACTTTTTGAGTTAAGCTAAATTGATTCGACGGTCCGCGCTGGCACACGTCGTTAATATTTACGAGTTAATTATGGGCTAAATTAAAAGTGCACCTGCTGACCTGCAGTTACTTATTTAACTCTTGACCTGTGTTGTAGTTTTCTACTTTTTTGTCGGATTCTTCCACACGCTCACAGCGAGTCTTTGTCAAATATTCATCCACTTCCATACTGAATTTATTCGAAATTTAAGCCAAAAATACGATGTTTATTGTGAGTTTTTATAAAAAATCAGAAAAAGTGAATCTTTGTCGTTTGAACTAAGTAAAGTTTCCTGTTGAATTATAATAGTTTTTTAATGGCAAACTCAAAGAGATCAGCCGAACTGATGCTTGTTCAGCACTGGAAACGCTCACAAGAAAAGTTTTTTTAGAAACTCCAAAAATAAACACCTTAATCTGTTTTAAATGGATTCGTCGGTGATCTCGAGCGAGATATATCCACACGTTTTTCCAAATATCGTAATTAAAATACTATTAAGGCGCCAAAGGTGTGATTGAGTGTAATTGTTTCTAAAGTACCTAAATATGCGGCTCAGTGGTAAAATTTAACTTTTCCACTCGAGATTTACGATTATTCCTGCTATTAAACCTAGCGAACAGTGCGTAGTAAAATTAAAAATCACAGAAAACAACCACCCGGTTGAGGTAAATTTTAATGGCACCCAAAACAATTAATGAATATTAATTAGTTTTGAAAAATTAACGCCCTGAAGTGTATTTGTATGTCTGAATAATTTAGAGCTTTAGTGCAGGAACATTTTTTTTAATTACCATAAAACACTCAACGCAGTTTAAGCACAAAAACCAACAATCAATCCTTCTTGGAAATTAAAATTTTTCAGCACATGTGTGCGTCTATTGTGTATTCTACTAAAATTAAACACTTCTCCCAGTGCATCAAGATCCTCATATCGACCGAGAAATAGGAATCGGAAAAACACAAAAAAACCCAAACTTAACTTAAAAAATCGACCCTGTTCGCGCTGCTGCAATTTAGTTAGTTGCAGGGTAAGCGGATTTTATTTTGCATTCAAATTAAACAACGAAACGGACAACAGCAAGAAAACAAAGAGTTTCGGAGTTATTAAAACACCTACCTGTCCAAATGGAATGCGGCAATCTCTGCGTTGTGTCTCTCGTAGTCGGTGAAATAAAAATGATTTGGAAGGGTCTGCTGTTCACGTGGAAATCTGCAACAAAACAAATGGCTTTTGAGAATCACGTCGAAATGAGATGAATATTTAATTAATATTTGCAAATCCACGGGCTCGACGGGTTTGCGAGTTTTTATGCAACTGTGACAATGCAAACAAACATTGCACTTTGTAAGTTTTAAACAGCTAAATAAAACATTATGTTAATTAATTGCTGGTTTTAACGCAGGTTGCTTCTACTTGTCCGCATTATGAAAACAATCACGATTTTGGAAGTATTGTTCACCTAATATCCAGTGGGAAATAATGGGAAATAATAAACTATTCAGATAAGCGCTTTTTTGACTCCATACTGAGGAAAAACAGTATTCAATGCAGTTTATATAAACAAAATAGTTTAGATTTGAATAATTTATTTATCATCCCAGAGCCGGTTCGGGTACAGCAAAAAGCAATTAGAAACAATTGCTCTATTACACTCTATTTAATTCATGCCCTTTGGAAACGTATCTACTAAATTTGCATAAATTGTTCGGATTTGAAAATATAAAGTAATTCGGGGATTTGTGTTTCAAATATTTCAGTTGCATCCCACATTATGCAAATTTTCAAATGCAAATTCGCTGTTTCATTTCCAATGGCCGAAGCCCCACTTTTCTAGCCAAAAAATACGACTTTAATTGATATCAAGCGGGAACTACATGCATTCAATAATATTCGGCAATTGAATAAATAAAGCAAAATAAGTCAATCTTTGCATGCACAGAGCTCTAAATTAGTCGCATTGAATTTGAACCGTCAATGTTTAGGCAAAATGAACCCTTAATGGATTAATGATCCAAAATAAATAGA